TCATCAACGATTGGATCAGCGAATCGTATACAGGAAATGGTAATAGTTGTTCGTTGTAAATTCAGTTTCCGTGACGACTGCAGTGAATCACGCGTTTATACATCAAGCAGGAACATCATTGTTTAATTTATACCAGAAACGGTTTGTACGCGTATTAGGAATTATTGTCGTACGTGAGGATACTTGAAACCAAGGTGGCAACGTTGTATATGGGGTGTCTGACTTATTGTGGTGCGGGTTAACTCCTTGCATTAAAATTTATTTGGTGGATGCATGAGATGTAACGAATTATACACTGCTACAATAATAAGGCGAGTAAAAATGTTAATATATCAATTGTTACGCATTTAGCGATATTTAGCTCTGCAAATTACAATTAGACTTAAATTGAACAAAAACTAAAAGCAAACTTAAATTGTAGAAACATTAAATAAAATTTAAATTGAACAAGAGTTAAATTAAAATTAAATTGAACTGATCATTCAATCATACTCAACGCAAAAAAAATTAAATTAAACTAAAATTGAACAGAAAATAAATGAAAGTTGAATTGAACAAGAATTAAATCATGCTTAAACTGAACTCAACATTCAATCATACTTAAATCCAACAAAAAATAGATTAAACTTAAATTGTGCAGAAACTAAATAAAATATAAATTAAATTCATTTTAAAAACTGGTGAAATCTATTAATACATCATCATCATTATAATTAATCGAGTCTGTTTCACTTCCGATTCAATGTGTTACGTAATAATGACTTATTTTATTTTCATACAAACGATTTCAACCGAACATTCATAGAAATTGAATAAAATCAAAAAACATAATAGTAGACTAATGAACGTAATAAACATAATATAATTTTTGTTAAAAGAATTGTAAATGAAATGTATAGCTACTAGTTATTTCATAAAACTGTATAATACGTTGGTGCAAAATGCATGCATAAATTCGACGTAACAGTAAAACCATCGATCTTCCAGCTTTCAGTTCCACTTTTCCTTTCATCGTGCAGTGAAGCAACACGCTCAAAAACTCCGTCCTCGGTTTTGTAATCCGACGTAAATTGCCGTCACCGTTAAGAAATGAGCACAGACCGCCTGAATGATACTGGTTTCTTATTGAACACTGTAGCACGAACGAGAACGAATAAAAATCGGATCGAACAACCACGGTGAACGTCGACTTTGAATTCCATTCACGACCAATCTGATCTGACATTGAAGATCGTAATCCATTATGGCTGTTTACGCCCTACAGGAAAATGGAACGTCGGAGAACGATTTGATGCATTTAGCAAGTGACGTTTACCACTCCCTGAGCAATATAAATAATAAGGAAATAAATAAAGTGTAGAAATATATCTCTTTCTGATTTTTGCTTGAAATCGTAGTTCTGTTAGAAAAAGAGAAATAATAGCAAAGCATTTCAGTCATTGATGTATTCATTTTGTAATGTTTCTGTCAAGTTTAAAACTCGAAAACTTCACTTATGTAATCTTCATTTTATTTGTATTTCAATTTGAACGCTCTTTTTTTGAGGCTGTTATAAGACAACACACCTACTTTTTCTTTCGCTCGACAACTATAATATTACAAGCTTTACGTGATTAATTGCAGTTGATATCGCAAAGTCATTAGAACAACAACCGTCTAATGTAAACATCATTTAATTAATTTTACCGTGTACTATGTGTAAAATAACTGTATACGTTCAAAACCAACAGATTACGTTGTAGTTTATAAACCACATCCGTAGGAAAATCGGGGTGAGTTGCAATTACGATGCAAAGTTTACTGTTTAAAATAGAATTTTGGAAATGAAGTCTGAGTTGGCTTGACGATATACACCTATGTACAGAACTTGTTTCTATTTTGTTTATGCAATACCAAGTCGTTAAAATTTTTGTGCTTTTTGATACAAATAGCAATTTTTTGCATTTCTTTTTTACATAAATCTTTCCTTCCCGACAATCTGATAAATGTAAACAAACTATAGTTACTGCATTTGAATTTGTGCTTCTTCAGCTGCATTTGTGTTTGAATAATACGAGCATAGGCTATTCTACTTTGAACTTATAATTTATTCATAATGTCAATCAAGATCATCTGTTGTACAAGAAGAACGTAATCTTAATTCAATATATTAATTAATTGTTTGATTAATAATCAATGAATTAATTTAAATTATGCGAACCTATGAAAACAGTAATTACAACATATGTAAAACAGTAATTAATAACGTTATGGATAACAGTTGATAACAAATTAGTAATAATACTTTATAATATAATTAATTTAAAATCGCAGAATAAAAATGTATCCACGCAGATTTATCACGAAGTATAAATAAAATAAAGATTCTCAATTCATTACTGGTTATTTAAGAGTAATGCAAGCTTCTGAATTAACATATCTTGTTTTTCAAAAGAATTTTCGTTTAATTGAAACAAGAGCTATCAGAAGAAGAAAGATGATATCTTGCATATGGGATTTAACTGGCATGGAATACAGAATATAATAACTAACCCCGGTTTCCAATACTTAAAATGTTACGTAATTTCAGTAAAATTAAGGTGTTCGTGTACATATCCTCTTGAGAGAAAAATCACACGAGAAAGCATTTCTCGTTGGAAATTATTTGCAGCTGAATGATACAATAAAACGTCGATACTTTCCTGTTAAATACATTTCCGGGTAAGAACTTCCTTTGCTCACAAATATTACTCGCAAAAAACATAGATGAGCTACAAGAAAACACCGCATGATATTCGCTCTTCGTAATTTTCCACTGCGCCCCAATTCCAGGAAAATATCGAGATTCTGTAGTAATTTTCTACGTAATACATCCTTGCGAGAATTGCTTTCGATATCTTCTTAAATTTTACTTTAAATAGATAGATAGTTTTATGTGAAATGATACATTATAATATAATTAATTTGAAATCAAGATTTGATTTAACTATAATGATTTATCAAGATATAAGCAAAGTGAAGATTCTCAATTAACCCACTATTAAAAAGTAGCTTTTGTTAAAGAATCGTTGACCATGTACAAATTTCTGAACCAGTCTTATGCAATTCGTGCCTTTCGGGCACATTCAGTCGACCTGAGACCGAGTTGCGGATTTTAAGGCAATTACGTCAATGAGAGCAGTGAAACGTTCACTTTCCTTTTTACTCTTTTAGCGTTGACTTTTTTTCAGCTCGAGATATTTGATATTTGTAGCATATTCTTGCCTTGATTCATAATGAGACTATTGCTATGTGGGGCGCAGCTGAAGTGCCTTACGGGCATTCAGCTGTCAAGGTTTAATAAAATAATTTAATATACTATTTCGATTTATTGCTATTGTTATTAATTTTCGTAGAACTCAAAATTTTTTAATTATTTAGCCAAATTAAATTCGTAGCAGAAATCAGTTGTGATACCCATAACCAACTAAAATTGCGGATTTTCAAATCCACATTCTAAAATTGTGGATTTTAAAATAAGTTTAAAACACGCTTTATCTTTTGTATCATTCTTATAAAACAGAATAATTGTATATTTTAAATGATTATATAGTAAGTATCGTCACCACTAATTTGTTGCAAGAATGACACTTACCGAATAACAAAGTACTGATTTTGTACAGATCCATGATTAAATTCTGTTAAATACATGCAACATAATATATTATAAAATTCTTGTTTTATCAAACTTAAATTACTATGCAAACAAATTATTGTGTCGAACATACTTTTCATAATTTATGAAATTATTGAAAATATTTCTTATACACTTAACAAATTTTTACTATGCTTTCTCAAAATGTTTCGATATTATATTACTTCTTCTTAAATAATTGTTTCTTTAAAAAAATATTTATTCTCTTTAAATAATTGTTTGTCAAAAATATATTTATTCATTATTTTCATTAGCATAATACTTACCAGAGTTTAAAAATACATGTTTCTTTAAAATTAAAAAAATCATACGAGAGGTTATTTGCACATTCTAAATATAGAATTTTTTATTATCATTTTGAGGGCATTCAAATGTCTCATCATTTTTATTAGCTGTTTCTGTCTGAAGTGCCTATTGTTTGCAAATATTATTAAAATGAATTAATATGATACCTAAGAATAAATAGTAATTAACTTCAACTCAATTTTACAATATCTTTTTAAAGATTCCTTCGGACCAAGAATCGTAATGAACGTGTGTTTGTTAATTAACATAATTTCAGTGTCACTTGTTGCAACACAGTAAATCAACAGCATTTTAAATTGTATAGCGATTTCCCACGTTATTTTTGAGATTACATCGAAGAGCATGATGCATCACATTATGTAGCTAATCAGACCATCAAACCTGTAATTGTTCATAAAAGTTTTAGTTTCTAATGTATGCGTTTACTAAATATTGTTATTCTACACTTACTAATGAAAGTATCGTAAATCTGACACGTGTACACCTTAACTGATGAAACCAGTAAATGCATAAATCACTAATCAAAAATTCATAATCAACATACCATAAAGTAAGACGAAATGCTTTAAATGTATTTGAAAATGATTATGATATTAAATTGTAATATTATTTAGTGTTTTACAAATATATTGTTTTCAAACGAAACATTTTTTCTTCGGGCAATATTTATACATATAAATACAATATTTATGTTTTATAAATAATTGAAATATATTATTTAAGGTACATCATAGGAACTAAATTTCAAAAAGCAGAAATCAAATATACTCGTCATGAGAGAATTTGAACTCATTATACAATTATAAAAATTCCGTCAAAATTAATAACCCAACGGCTGTATCTTCCTCTCAGAATAAAGAAGAAGAATACAAAAATGAACTCAGAAAAAATTATTTATTATTTTTCAGACAAAGAATATTTATCACCTTGTAAGTTTTATTTACTCGAAAAAATTGCAACTAAGTATCATAAGTGTTATAATGCAAAGCAGAATAAAAATTCGTTTCTGTTTTAATTTCAGATGCTGCCGAGGTTGTTGGCCGTGCTCTGTACAGCACTTCCGGTAGTGCTGTCTCAGAGCAACTATGCCTCGCAGGGCAACAGCATCGAGTATCACCCAGGTTTGCCTCCGAGCACAGTACTAAATGGCAAGGTAACCAAATTGGACGACATCTCGTCGATGATATTTCTGAATCGCACGAAGGCGTACCTGAATTGCAGCCAGGGTAGCATGCAGGTTGAGTTGAAGTTCGAGGAACCGTTTTACGGTGTCGCCTACGCGGATTTCGATCGTAACAGCGCCTGCATATTTAAAGGACGCGGATCGACCAGTGCTAAGTTGGAACTACCTCTAAAAGGTACGCTTTCCCTTTCGTGATTTACAATCTATTTGCTTCGATCGTTTCGAGATTCAAGTTACTTTTTTACGAGCCCACGAAACCCACGCGAAAATAATGTCATATGCAGATCACGTTGCTTTCAACCCGGGAAAGAAAATCTGCTCTCATCTGTCTACTAAACAATCAAGATTCTCATTACCTGATACTATAAATAAACGGTCGTTAAACAGTTCTGAATCCTTTGAACTTAATGAATTTTGTATGAGATGCAGTTTCTGTTGCATAGACAATGAGGCGGATTCAGGACTCGCATAAATGGGACTAATTTTTCTACCAGCATATTTCGTTCATTTAACGAGTCGAAACTTCTGCTCCAGACGATTAAATATGAAACGATGAGTCTATAAACAAGCCGGATGTACTTGATGGATGTTCATTGATATTCTAGGATGCGGCACGAGGCAGGATCCTCAACGCGTGTTCACAAACAATGTCGTAGTACGCTTTCATCCTGGTCTCGAAATGGATGGTGACGAAGTAATCACAATAGTTTGCAGATACCCTCCCCCTAGGGCGCCCATTCCTGCAGCGCCTCCTGCTAGCATGTGAGTTCCACATCGACAGGAAACCAATTAATGTTTCCCTGTTGCATCGATAGAAGACAGCTATTTTCTCAATAAACCAATATTACAGTCAACCCTATGTAATATTATATAACAGTTATTTAACATTTGCAACAATTATATAACATTATACAATTAACTTATACTACTTGAAGGGATTCAAGTACATTCAACTGTATTTGTTGCAACACCCATCTAAATAATTCCTTCCAGTTCTTCGTGCGACTTAACAGAATTACTTAACAATATTAACTAAACTGATAGCTTATCACACTTGTCACAAGCTACTTAAATAACCTGAAATTATTTTGTTGTATAGATTGGCTACCCAGGCGCCCGTTCCGTTGGCCGAGCCTCCTCTCAAAGGTTTCCAGATACTCCTCATCATTTGCGCGATCCTGTTTCTCTCATTGCTGTTGCTGGGTCTAGGCTGCTCGTACATGTGCCTGAAGCGTAGGAACGTTCGCGTGATACACCGTCATCCATTCGGAAGTGACTCTGGTTCCGAGTTAACGAAACCCTCCACGCCTAATCTGGGTAGCATCATTATGTTCGAGGGACTGAAGATTCCTCGACCTAGACCGTTCCATACATCTACCTCCACTACTGGCAGTGATACGCATTTAATGAACCCTTCGTTGCCTAGCGATTACCCCAGCGAAACCTCCGAGGTATGTATTTTTGATTATTGGATTATAGTGATTACACCTGGCGTAGATTTACAATGGTAATAGTTTTAGCATTTTCCTTGTCAATGTCCTAGGTACAGTTCATAATCTATTTCTTAACAGGATAGTAATGTTCAAGTTCAAGATATGCTGTCACTCGTTTTTTCATAAAAAATATACTATAGAACAACCACAAGACCAGAACATATAGTTACCTTTGGGATTTAATGATTTTACTAAAAAATAAGTAGTAAAATTGTATTCCAAAATAGTACGTTATTCATTAAAATCCCTAAAACTATTACAAACACCTTGAGAATCTATCAGAAATATTTCTTTCCAAATCAAACATGATGCAGTACATCCTGTGTATCTCTTGAACTTAATTCTTGTATTAAATATTGAACTATTTCCTTTACAAATTCCCCTTAATTTATTCAAATGTTAAATTGTTCTTTGCAGGGCGACGAAGAACCTTCATTACCGGGATCATCGGCAGGTTCATACGACAAGCAGGTGTTCGTTCATCACGAGACTCACCAGCGTCAAGAGATGCGTACCAACAGCTCCTTGTATTTGGATACGGTTGCCGCAGAAATGGAAACATCGTCAATGACAGCTATGAACGCCTCGAGAACAACCGTTCCCCGTCACATAATGGCAGTGCCCATCGAACCAAAGTTTGACGTACAAATGCGAGTGACGAAAGTACCGCCCACTTCACCTAGCCCTCTACCTTCCGAATCCGATATAGCGAGTGTCGCCCTAGAGAGGAATTTGACTACGATCCTAGAGAAGGAAGAATCTAGCCTTACTCGTAGCATGGAAAGTCCACCTACGAGGACTACCTTCTCCTACGTTCCAGAACTCCATGTACCTCCAGGAGGAAGCTCTTCCACTTCGACGATATCCAGACAGCAAACGCCGCCCGTTTATTCGAGAATCTTACGAAAGCAAGCTGAACGAGAAACGACCACTAGTACCAGTATTCTTCAAGAACGCATTCCATCGCCTTCGCCCGTTGAACAGCCGCCTCTTCAGCACCACGAGATTCGCAGGCCCAGATCACTGACTTCTCTGAACACCGAATTAACGGAGACACGGTCCTTGACGGAAGTCACCGACCACACTCATGCTAAATACAGAGTGGCTAGCATCCTGGCACCTACACCTCCGCCTCCTCCTCCGATCGTCCCAACGGTCACAAGCACGCACACGGCCGTCCAGCATCGTGAACACCGACTGTTCCGCGAAGAAGTAACGGAACCATTGGTCGAGCCACAAGTAGTCGCCCCGAGACGTCCAGAGATAACCACCCACGAGGTAGACGACGTGTTCCTGAAGACGGTGACGGAGAAGAAGACGATCGAGGATGTGGAGCGTCATCGTCGTCAAGTAACCGAGTACCGAGCTAAGCCTCCACCAGATCCCAAATGGGACGTGACCATCAGGAACTATCCAACCGAGAATCTCCCACCGCCTCCACCAGAATGGGAAAACTTCTCCGACGTCAGTTCCAATTCTAATCTGACCATCACCAACGAACCTACAGGCATCCAGATCGACGCACCGGTAGACGAAGAAGCTGACGTGAACATAGAGCCGACGTACACGGCCCGTGCTGAAATACCCTGCAGACCACCGCCAGTATCGCACCGCTCCGTCGACGAGACCGACACTGACTGGTTCAGCAGATTGTCCCGTGTCCTGGACCCGCGTTACGTGTCGGAGTTCACGGAAGAAGAACGCGCCAAATGGCGAGAAATAATCACCACAGACAGCACTTTGAGGACTCTGCTGACCGAAGCTGTGGTTAAGGAGGACTATGAGCTCATACGTAAGGACGCGAGATACACTAACTTGTTCCCGCCAGCCAAGTGGGATGTAATCATCCGCATCCTGGGTCCACCTTCGATGCATGCCGGGTCCACGTCCTCTTCGACTCACGGCAAGAACCACGGTCAACGGTACAAGAGGTCCAAGTCCTCGGAATGGGACACCAGATCCAGAAGGTCCTCTCTACCGACATTGTACGAGTACGAAAGCGACGGAGGCAGCTCTGCACGTACTCACAGTCATCGACTGCAAATGTCCCAGTCGGCCACAGCTATGGGTCAGTCGCGTTTGCGTAGATTAGGCTCCAGTCACAGAGGCACTGGTGGAGCCAGCGAAGTGGACGTCAGGTCGATGTCTGAGATGACGGTTCGCGATTTTGCCAGGGTGGATCGTGATGATCTAACGAGCTTGAGCTCGTTCGAGGGCGGCGACTCCCTGGTGAGATCTCTTAGCCAGCCTAGCTTAGCCAGAAGTGGGTCGGAGTTCACGGAACACTGGGGTATCCCGGCTGGAATGATGGATCTTCCGCCTTGGGCCACGGAAGAGGGAATCAGTTCCGTGGAAACTACACCCAGAGTGGTGAGAAGAAACGATCGCCTGGAGGTTTTAGCTTCGTTCGACGATCGCAGACAGGGGTCAGCCACGACCAGATCCAGCCGGTACGTGGAGAGAGAGCTGAACAGTGTTCGAGTGACCGAGGGCCAGAGAAGTTCGAATTGGTTCCATGACGATTCTGAACCTGAAATGCAGATCTGAACTACTAGTTCGGGTTGAAAATTGCCCTTGATTGCCTCCTGTTGCCTTGGTCCTTTTATTGTCAGTAATTCTGATACGACTGGGACCCACGTTTCTTCCGATCGATCGCTTTCTGTTTTAGCGCCTCGTTTAGTTGTACGACGTTTTTGATAATTTTTCTTTGAAATGTGTAGACTGTACACACTGCCCTGTCAAGATGACTAGTTTATTCGTTCTCTTCGTATCTGGCAGATCGGGAGACGCTTTCTTTTTTACGAATCTCTTCGAACGAACGTTTACGTACTTACGACTCGGCGCGTTGGCTGCAACGTGAATCGATTGAAACGAATTTAGCAGTTGTGGTAAACTGACGTGCTTTCATTTCGATAAAAATTAACTTTAATTGGGAACGATGTCGTGATACCGAGCAGTTAACGCGTTGATGAACCGTAGCCATTCTCTCCACTTGCCACTCGAGTTTTAGAGAAGAAAATGGCGGACAATAGACGAGACTCGACGCCAACGAGTGGAACTGTAGACCCTGGCTGAACTATCGAATTATCTTAGAAATTAACTCGATCATAGTTAAAGTGTAAGTTTAACAATTAACCAGGCAACAATTTGCTTATCTAACGGTCGATCACCGAATGGCGTATTTCAAAGATCTCTATGATCCTTAACCCTTAGATTCCTGACCGAGTTAACTGGGGTCTTTCACGCTTATTTTGTTATAATTTTGTATGATTATTCGACAATTGTTATTCAAAGTTCTTTAATACAATTATCATTTGAAAATGTCCCCTCAGTTATTATTTAAGGCTATGTCTGTGAAATTACATGTATGTCTCGTACTATTATTTGAAGTTGTATACTCAACTGCTATTTGAGGTTATGTCTCGTATGAGGTTATGTTCGCTTTATGGTTATTTCTAAGATTTTCCTCAATATTTTCAGTATTTCTAGGAAAGTAAATTTTCAAATCCGTGACAGACCCTGGCGACCCCATTTTGGTCGTACGTAGATTCGGTATTTAAGGGTTAGAAACCACCTTAAGATTGTGAGACGATATTTAACACGTTCGCTACGAATGTTTGCAGGCCTATATTCAAAATTATGATTTTCGAATACTTGAGATCAGAATTTTCGCAATATTTATTTTACAAGTACAATAAATGTAAATATGAAATTTATAGTTACTAATTACATCACTTTCATTAAGTATCGTAACGGTGCTAAAAGTTACTGAATTAAACCTACTTCGAGCTCTATGGAATACTTGACTAAAGTGCAATTTTTAAATTTACAACTAAACTTTCGCTACGTGTAAAAATTTATTCGGATCATATCACTTATTTTAAGATTAAGTTTACTTATATATACGTTTAGAAGAAGTTTGAGTTCCAATTGTAGCCGCCCTTCTTCTTCGTTGTTTTTAAAATACAATAACCACCTCCAATTTAATCGTTGCAAACAGCATACCTTTTTTTGTAAAATTTATGAAATAAAACGATATTTTCTTAGACTTTAACCTGGACGATGAGTTAATTTGTCACTCGATAATTATTTCGATTAATTAAAAGTAAAAGATGTAAACTCTATTCAGTTTCGTTCGCTTCCAAAGTTGGCCATTTTCACAAGATACGTGGTCCAAAAATAATAAGACTATATTTATCTCCATGTCACAAAATGGTCGCATTTAAAATAGTTTATTTAGGACACCGAATGTTTTCATCTGTCCCTCGGAAAATTATTTAAAACATTCGAACGTACGAAAATGACGAGTTTTTTAATTCTAGAAATTAAAAGAAGTCACAAGGGTTGAGATCCGATAGATTGTAGGGGCTCGGACACTGCCATAACTTTTTTACAGCTAAAAAATCTGTTGACGGATGTGATGCGAACGAACGCGTTCCATTTCCATGACCCACTCAGCCAGCATATTATTATTTATCTGATAATTACTCTATATCAACTGAACTGATCAAGATGTATATAACCTAAATACCTTAATAAAGTTCGTGGATAGTAAAGCTCTTTTGTTTTTTGTCAATGTTTGCCAATATGATTCATAAAGTAAGTTCATGATGACTCTCGTAAAGTCTCATTACTTCTAAAGCTAAGCATGAATATGTCACCTGAAACGAACTTTTATAAAATTAAGAAAAACGAGCAGGTAATCGATAAGCTCATGTGCGGGGATGAAATTTCAAATTTTTTAATTTAGATTGGGATGTTAAAAATTTGGAAATTTGATGATTTGTTATTAGGTAATATGGTAATTTGGTAATATAATAATTTTATAATTTTGATAATTTAGAAATTTAAAGATGTAGTAACATCAAATTATTAAATTTACGAAACTGTAAATTTGAGAAGTTAAAAATTCAGAAGAGTAGAAATTTGGAGATTTTGAAATTAAGAAATTTGTAAATTTGAAAATGTGAGAATTTAGAAATTTGTAAATTTGAAAATTGGAAAATTGGAAAATTGGAAAATTGGAAAATTTAGAAATTTACACATTGGAAAATTTAAGAATTTAAATATTTGGTAATTTGATAATTTAACAGTATGGAAGTTCAGAAATTAGACACGTAAAAATTTCAAAATTTAGAAATAACAATTTCTCAAATTTATGAACTTGCAATCTTGGGAAGTCGAGCATAGTAATTTAAAAGTTTGAAGATTTCGAAATTTGAAAACTTAAAAATTTAGTAATTCAAAAATTTAGAAACTGAGAAATTTAAAGATTTGAAAATTTAGAAATTTGAAAATTAACTATCCGTAAATTCTAATGACTGTACACTATTATTTGGTTTCGAAATTACTGTACACGTATTTAATTATGCATGAAGATATCATACCGTATTTTTTAAACGATTATTCCTATTATTACTTAAATTGTGGTAGCTTTTCCACAATATATCACTGCCACGATTTACTACATCTTTAATAAAAGAATCACATATTTTCATATTACGAAAAGTAAAAACTTATTTTAATCTATGTAAACGTATCTATTCTGAGAAGTAGAACAAAATGAAACAAATTTTTCTATAACATAACTGCTACATACAAACGAAATTCGTACAACTTCTAATTTGTTCAGGTAAAAAAAAAACGAAACTGTTGTTAATATTTATATAATTCTAATTTAAAAGATAAAAGGACGAATACAGTATATATGTGTTTAAAATTTGGAGAAGATTATAAATGCACTTCATTATTGGAAGTGCGTCAAAAATATCGCTTTTGCGTCATGTGTGCGGAAAAAATCACAACGATGCATTATATGCCCGCATGTTATTAGAAATTTTATAGGTAACTAGCATTTTAATGAATTCGAGTATAAAATTTAAAAACACATTTTCAAGGTTTAATATTGTAAGAAAATACTATTAAACAAAATCGATTTTTTCAAGTGTTTCAAGTGGGAATACTCTATTAAACAATTTTAGTTACATAAATAACGCAATTTAGATGTTGGACGTTCAGAAAGTACAAAATTAATAATTTATTTGGTTATCATATGAGATAAAATAGAAATTCCACTAAAATTAATATTTACTTAGAAAATACTAGTTTAGTAAAAAACTATTATTGGCTAAAATTATGACACTTTCTTCCATCACATCAAATATACAAATCCAGACATTTATTATACCAAGAAGTAAAAAATTCATTATTATAACTATGTCCTATATTTCAATTTTTCAACAAAAACCGCTTTTACCTTTATAATGTTCATTACAAAGTTTTATACTAAATCCTGATCGTGGACTAATCGTTTTTTACTTCATTTTAGTTTTCTACGATACTATCTTATCAGCTTTTTTAAATATCATCGTTTAAAATACCTTTCTAAGGCGTATCTGGTGCGTCATCCCCTATTTTTGTATCTAGCGATGCACCGCTTCCGTCATCTTCTTCTACCGAGTTAAACAGTATAAAATGTGAATACTTGAAAAAAACTATATTTCCTATCTTATAAGATTGAGTTTTCGAAAGGTTGATTTATTATAAAAGCAAAAATAACTTTCTCTTTTACATATTTATTAACAAGGATGTACCTTATCTAACACGAACGTTAACGTATAAAATACATAAAATAAGTGGATCATTTTCGTGACAAAATCTCCGTATCGCAGAGACAGATTTTCTTCCGCGGATACCGTCATTGGAATACAATGGAAACAACAGGCAACACGGAAGTTAGCGAAAGTGTTAAATATTCGATCGGTGGTGTCGCTGCGATAATATGTTTAAGTAGGTAAACGAAACATACGGTGCTGGGTTATACGCTTCAGACAATAGCTAAGACTTCCCTCTTCGAGACGTACTTAATCTTCTCAGAGCTTAAATGTATTCCATAAATAGGTTCAGAAGAAGACATTGAATTCTGTACTTAACCTCTTCAAGGAAACTGTAAGACATGTACAGGATGTGCATTAAGTGGGAATGGTTGAATGCCTCTTAAAAAATTTTTTTAAAATGTAATGTAATTACAGTTATTAAGAAAATATCTTCACAAAACTTGTATGATATCAAGACGGCCATTTTATCATATAAATAGTTGTCCCATAGATAAAGTAGTGGTGGATATTTCAAGTTTAAGGTGTTCAATAGAGATTCAAGGTGAAGTTAGTTTTTTTAAATGCAATCTTGTATTTCTATTCATAACATGGTATCGTTTTCTGAAATAAATTCAACGACCTATTAGAACACATCGTTGCATGTCGAGACACTTATAAATATCTGTAGTTAGGTGGACGCAAATCACTAGCATATGTATGGCCGTGTCGCTTGTTGTACCGATTGACACCATCCACGCTGTGCATAAACAGTAATTACGCTTCTTGTCTCCCGTTTCGCCCCTTAAATTCATGCTTTTCTTAGTCCCGCACCTTATTCTAAGAGTCAGTTTCATTGGGGTGCTTTTATCGAAGTTCTTCGCTAACTTCAGTGTGCGATAAGTATACATTATCGCGTAGAAGGACGAGTTTTACTTTGGCCTTGGCAGTTAAAAACATTTTTAGAAAACAGAATAAATAAATATTCTGAATGAAACTATTAATAATAATGGTAACTTCCAAATTGCAGTGTCAAGTGTTGGACTCACTTAAGGCACGTTTGAAACTGACTCTTAATATAAAATTAGAAACTAGGAAAGGTAGGAGGTTAAGGGACAAAAAAGAGACAAGAAAGCTAAACACTGTTTATGCATAGTATGAATGGTGTCAATAGACTCGACAAGTCATCGCAATGACGTTTGCCAGCGATTTGCAATGATTATTTGCAGATGTAATTTATAGTTCCTTCGTATGCAATAATATCAAGTAATAAGTTATTAAGAAAATACACGTTACATTTGTTTCAAAAAAGTCCCGTTTAAAAAAACTAACTTTACCATGTAATATTTGCCACCACCTACAAAAAACTATGAATACCATACTCCTTCATACCATACAATTTGTGTAGAAACACTTTTTGCTAATTTCAATAATTTAAAAGATATTTAATCGTTTCCAATTAATTGACACACCCCGTATGAGTACGTTCAGGGCTGGCTCTAGAACTTTTCAAGCCCCAGCCATACAAATGAAAATCAGGGACCTCTTTAAAAACAAGAACGAGGGTAATATTTGTTAAAAAAAAAACACGATTTTTAAATCTGCGTTAACTTGTATTACTATAGTTTAAGATTGCAAAACTAAAATATAACATGACAATAAAAAATCTACAGTATCAAATTATTTTAAGAAATTTAAAACTCTTGTTTACTTCTTTTGACGTCCGTAAACATATTAATAATAACCGTTGAGCAAAAAGTTTCTAAAACAAAGTAGTGACAAACATTTCTATGCGGGCCCTAGGCACTATTTTGCCTTCGAGTGTACACAGCTCTGAATACATTTAATTCCTTTCTGAAAACGACCGATTCTCACATATGTGGACGTTATCCTTCTGTGTATATTTGATATACGAATTTTGGCCATTTAATAAATAAAGAGATATAATTTGAGATATAATTCTTTGCTATAATAATATCCCATTGCTTTACTGGTTTCCGTGCATAATTATTTAAAAAGTTTTTGCTTTGAAGCGTGAACCAGCTTTCAACATTTGTTCTCACTTCTTTGTCGTTATGTAACTCGATTGCAAGTAAAAAAACTGAACGAAAAAGAATCTTGTACAAAAAAATGTAAGAGATAAAAAAATTTTATATATCTTCTGAAGAAATTTGATTATTAAATATTATTTTTCAACAGTAAACTTTTCTTAAATATTATTAGTAATAAGATGATACAGGTTATATCTACAAAAACATTTACTTTTCTTTCGTTGAATGATCCTCGTTCTAATATTCGCATACCAATATCAGTTTTTTTGAGAATCACTTCTTATAATTGTGATATTACAAGTTATAAATGAGTACTTACATGTACGTCGTAGAGTAATATTGACGGCCTGTCTTAAACGTCTTTTACCAAATTATTTTTATTTGTACTTCACCAAAATAACATTAAATACTCTTTGTGAAGGAATCACTCTCCGGATTGATAAAACTCATACCTAACTTATCAAAACTGTTTTGAAAGATTTCATTCATTACATTTCAATAAAGCTCCTTGCTGATTTTTTTTGGCTTTTCGTCGGTAGAGGGCGTACATGTTCAAGAATTACCTCCATACCATTTACCAGAAGATATCTTATATATATAATAATAATATATAAATTGAGGAAATTGTGCCATTCCTAAAATCATGTTCATACATTTTTTAACTTAATCGTCGTGTTTTTGTAGCATTTTCCGCACTTTTTAAATGTGAAGTGAGTGACAGACGAAGACCGAATTGACTTTGCGGGCCTCTTGTGGCAAAACTGGGAAACGTCGACAATTCTTATCTTTCTTTACCCTGTAGAAGAAAGGTATCGGA